TCCTGGGACCTGATGGTGAAAAGTAGGCAATAAGTTTAAATCATCATCATAGAATTGTAGAGTTGGAAGGGACCTGAGAGAGGGACGCGGGTGTAGTTGGTTAACCAGAGCCTAGGACTTTCCGATCAGAAGGTCGGCAGTTCGAATCGGGGTGAGCTCCCATTGCTCAGTCCCTGCTCCTGCCAACCTAGCAGTTCGAAAGCACGTCAAAGTGCAAGTAGAGAAATAGGTACGGCTCCAGCGGGAAGGTAAACTGCGTTTTCGTGCGCTGCTCTGGTTCGCCAGAAGCGGCTTTCGTCATGCTGGCCACATGACCCGGAAGCTGTACGCTGGCTCCCTCGGCCAATAAAGCAAGATGAGCGCCGCAACCCCAGAGTCGGTCACGACTGGACCTAATGGTCAGGGGTCCCTTTACCTTTACCTTTAAGGGACCCTGAGAATCATAAGTAGTCCAAACCCCTCCAGTGCCGGAATATGCAGCTGTCCGATTTGGGGATTGAACCTACAAACTTGGTATTATCAGCACCATGCTCTAACCAACTGATCTATTAATAATAATAATAATAATAATAATAATAATAATAATAATACATTTGGAGGGCTGCAGGTTCCCCATCCCAACAGAATTGGTGTTAAAGGACAATTAAATCGAGTTTATCAAAGTAAAATCATAGAACTGGGACCTCATGGGTCATCTAGTCCAACCCCCCTTCAAGGCAGGATTCACAGCTAAATAATCTCTGACAGATGGCCATCCAACCTCTGTTTAAAAACTTCCAACGATGTAGTCTGTTTCCTCTGTCAAATGGCTCTCACCATCAGAAAGGGAAACGCGATGCCCTGGGCTCAAGGGCACCCTTCCTCCAAGAATATCTTCATCCTCATCTTCATCCTTCCCCCAAGTGATGCTGCCTGCCTGAGCCATGCTGTTGCAAGGACAAAGTTGGCACAGAGATCTGCGGCCAACTAAACATGCGCTCTCGCTCTCTCTCCCGCCCCCCTCACCGTAAAATATATTTTCTGTACGGTAGTACATTATCCCCTCGCTCTCTCCCTCCTTCGATCGATCCTCCCAACGACCTCTTTACTCAAGTCAGGCTTCTTGTTTTCCAACGCCTGTCAGCCACTTCCCAAAATTGCAATTAAGCTGTCAAGGGAGCGAGCAGAAGCGTTTGCAATTCACAGCCTCGGCAGGAAAGGAAGGGAGGTGGGCAGGTCCGGATCGCAATACGCTGGGACAGAAAGCTAAGGAGTTACCCTTCCCCCCCCCGGACCTCCCCAGCCCCGCCAGGTGGTGCTGTGGGTTAAACTACAGAGCCTAGGACTTGCCGATCACAAGGTCGGCGGTTCGAATCCCCGCGACGAAGTGAGCTCCCGTTGCTTGGTCCCTGCTCCTGCCAACCTAGCAGTTCAAAAGCACATCATAGTGTAAGCAGATAAATAGGTACCGCTCCGGCGGGAAGGTAAACGGCATGTCCATGCGCTGCACTGGTTCGCCAGAAGCAGCTTAGTCATGCTGGCCACATGACCCGGAAGCGGTACACCGGCTCCCTCAGCCAATAAAGCGAGATGAGCGCCGCAACCCCAGAGTCGGTCACGACTGGACCTAATGGTCAGGGACCCGCATCTCAGTTGGACTCCCTTAGAACGGTTGGACTCCCTTTTTTAAGCCAAAGGACTTGCAGAGCAGTTTGTGGACTACAAATTAAAACAAGGCCTTCCCTGCCCGCAGGCCTAAAAGCGGTGGCACAAAAGGAAAAGGCAACAAGCAGGGAAGAGGAAAGAAGTAAACTCAGGCACCATTTCTTGAAGTGAAACAGGAACTCTTATCATGAGGAGCTGGAATGGAAGCAGCTCAGGGGTAGGAAGTGCCAGACAGAGCTGGCCTTTCAGCTGATGGCCTTTCTCGTCTCTCCCACTGACGTAGCCTGCTGGAATGACTGCTACCTGGTGGCAGCTGAGGGAGAGGATGCCTGATGCAGCTGGCCTTTCAAATTCTATTTATACTGCCGTTTTAATGTATTTCTGATGGCTTCCTTTTAGCTGTGCTCATCCTTACGGCGTGTGGTTGTTTTTAAGTGGTCTTTGTGCGTGAGGCTAAAAGGGCTTTCAGAGTTAAAAGGCACACAGACTCCACTCACCAAAACCCCGAACAACACCAAGTGTGGGGATATAGGCACACATACAGGAACGACAAGAATATTGCAGTGTTGAAGAAGGAGGTGCAGAGGAGAGTTAGGAACGAGATTTTTGAAACAGGCCTCCTTCGTGACATCTGGGAAGAAAATTTGGCTGGTGGCCCTTGCTGTGTACCACCACACCAGGTCCAGCTTGAACTGTTGGCTTTCAGCCTGTTATCCAGCAGCTAAAGGCAAAAGGAGGCCAGGAAGAAACAAACAAAAAGAGTTGATAATCATAGGTGGGACGTGACTCAGATAATGCTGCAGCTACGATGAAGGCCGGTCGATTCAGGCTTTACCTGAAGAACTTCTGCCTGCCTTCAGTCAACTCCCCACCTGGCTGCCTTCCCACTTACTCCCAGTTCATGGGGTGACACTGTCTGTCACCTTCCTCCTCCCTAGTCTTAGGAGGAGGGTGAAGGGGACAAAATTCGAGCGAGCCGGCTCCACTGACCATTGACTCTGGTAAGGTAAAGGGACCCCTGACCGTTAGGTCCAGTCATGACCGACTCTGGGGTTGCAGCGCTCATCTCGCTTTATTGGCCGAGGGAGCCAGCTTCCGGGTCATGTGGCCAGCATGACTAAGCCGCTTCTGGCGAACCAGAGCAGCACACGGAAATGCCGTTTACCTTCCCGCCGGAGCAGTACCTATTTATCTACTTGCACTTTGATGTGCTTTCGAACTGCTAGGTTGGCAGGAGTTATGTACAGTAGGTTTAGACAAATGCGTGAAAGATCAGGTAAAGGCTACAGTCAGAGGTGGCAATGCTACTGAATGCCAGCTGCTTGGAATTACAAGGGCATAAAGGTAAAGGGACCCCTGACCATTAGGTCCAGTCGTGACCAACTCTGGGGTTGTGGCGCTCATCTCGCTTTATTGGCCAAGGGAGCCAGTGTACAGCTTCCAGGTCATGTGGCCAGCATGACTAAGCCGCTTCTGGCGAACCAGAGCAGCGCACGGAAATGCCGTTTACCTTCCCGCCGGAGCGGTACCTATTAATCTACTTGCACTTTGACGTGCTTTCGAACTGCTAGGTTGGCAGGTACAGGGACTGAGCAACGGGAGCTCACCCCGTCACAGGGATTTGAACTGCCGACCTTCTGATCAGCAAGTCCTAGGCTCTGTGGTTTAACCCACAGCGCCACCCGCATCCCATTCTGGTGCCACGCATGAATTCGGAGACAGGAAGAGCAAGACACACACAGCCTCCATGCCTACTCAGCTGCAGCCTTGGCTCTGCTCAAGGGCTGCTGGATCAGGGCAGGCCGTAATTCTGAGCAAGCTAAGAGCTGGTGACATTTTAACAGCCTGCCAAAATGGGCTCATGAATGCCTGGGGATTAGCTATCCATCAGGAAGCTGGCTTGGAAACGAGCCTGTTTGAGAGTCTGTTGCTTGTGGTCAGGGGAGCTCCTTGTGGAGAGGAGAGAGAGAGAGAAAGAGAGATTCAGGACGGGCCCCTGAATCCCTCCCCAAAATAGTCCTTTTTCGTACAAATGTTCATTGGCTTAGCGCCGTTTCTGTCACAAGATGTGACCGAAAGGTGTCTTGAGGAAAAGGAAGCTAGTGTTTCCCAGACTCGAGTCGCTAGCTGGTTTTGGACTACAACTCCCATCATCCCTAGCCACTGGTCCTGCTAGCTAGGGATGATGGGAGTTGTAGTCCAACAACAGCTGGAGGCCCAAGTTGGGGAAACACTGAACTAGAAGAAGAGATGGAACTAGAAGAGGAAGTCCCTACCAGAGAAGGACGGCAGAACAAGTTGATGGATTGTGTGGAAATGGCTAAAATGACCTGAAGAATAAGAAATCAGGAAGACCAAAATTTTAATAAGGAATGGGGAAAATTTACACCCTATCTTTTACATTGTTTTAAATGTTTGTTTTCCTTCTCGGATTGTACCCCCAAGTGTGTTTTATAAGCTGGTCTCCAACCATAATAAATTATCTATCTATCTAACCTATCTTAAAAAACATTGTAAACACTTAAAATTGTTACTAGGATTGGAATATCACTTGTTGTTTAAGGGTGAATTTTGGACACAATGGAGATGTAAAAGATGTAGATTGTCATAAAAGATGAAGGAGGAAATGATTAACAACAGGACCCACAAAGGGGAGGAGGGAAGTCCAGGAGATTCCTTGGAATCCTATTTCCATCTTGTACGTTCGATATGTGAATGTAAAGTTTTAATCTTAAAAAAAAAAAAAGTTTTTTAAAAAGAGGAGACACTGAACGAGAGGGAGGCTCACTGATATTTAATACAGCCACGGTAGCTCAACAAAACCTGCATATTAATAGGCAGTCAGTGTCTGAATACCAATCACTGAACATCCTGATTTAGGAAGCTGTATGGCGCTGTGGGTAAAAGCCTCAGCGCCTAGGGCTTGCTGATCGGAAGGTCGGCGGTTCGAATCCCCGCGGCGGGGTGCGCTCCCGCTGCTCGGTCCCAGCGCCTGCCAACCTAGCAGTTCGAAAGCACCCCCGGGTGCAAGTAGATAAATAGGGACCGCTTTATAGCGGGAAGGTAAACGGCGTTTCCGTGTGTGGCTCTGGCTCGCCAGAGCAGCTTTGTCATGCTGGCCACGTGACCCGGAAGTGTCTCCGGACAGCGCTGGCCCACGGCCTCTTGAGATGGGCGCACAACCCTAGAGTCTGTCAAGACTGGCCCGTACGGGCAGGGGTACCTTTACCTTTACCTTATGGCTCACTGGTGAAAAGAGATAGGTAGGAATGTCTGCCTTGTTGTGCATATGTTCTGTGTTCGTTCTGGACGGTGTTTGCTTTACTCTGCCTGCTTCCTTCTCCGCCACCGTGCAGGGACCCTGGGCACAGACACGGAAGAGCGGCTGGTAGAACATCTCCTGGATCCGTCACGGTACAACAAGCTGATCCGCCCGGCCACCAATGGATCCGAGTTGGTCACTGTGCAGCTGATGGTATCATTGGCCCAGCTCATCAGCGTGGTATGTACCCAAGATGGGGGAAGTGGGTTACAATTGCTTTTCAAATAGTTCATATACTTCTTCCAATCTTCTGCAAATCTCTGGTCCCACAGGTTTCGAATCCTTCCTGTCATTTTGTCCAATTCTGCATAGTCCATTAATTTCGTCTGCCATTCTTCTTTCGTCGGAATTTCTTCTTGCTTCCATTTCTGGGCTAACCATACTCTTGCCACTGTTGTTGCATATAAGAACAGTTTGACATCTTGTCTATTAATGTCTAGGACTACAAGAAGTTTTGTAAGGAGAAATATATGAAGTGTTACAAAGTAGAAAAAGATAGAGATATTGGTTATGAGTTTGAAATGTCATAGGGAAAATAAGAAATGCATACTAAGAGATTAGATTGGGAAATTTTCAGACAGGACTGATGAAAGTCAAACAAATTGAATCAGATGTCAAAGTATGTTTAATTACTGTTGAAAATTATATGTTAAAAAACTAATTAAATTAGATAGATAGATAGATAGATAGATGATAGATAGATAGATAGATGATAGATGATAGATGATAGATGATAGATGATAGATGATAGATGATAGATGATAGATGATAGATGATAGATGATAGATGATAGATGATATAGATAGATAGATAGATAGATAGATAGATAGATAGATAGATAGATAGATAGATAGATATAGATGGGGAAGTGGGAACTGCCAAACGGGTCAAATGCTGCTCAAAGCAGAGGTCTTCTGTAAGTCTGGAGAAAGCTTCCTCCCTGGAGCTGACCTTTTAGAATCATAGAACTGCAGAGTTCGAAGGGACCCCAACGGTCATTGAGTCCAGTCCTCTGCAAGGTGGGCATTACAGCGAAGGAATCCCCAACAGATGGTCATCCAATCTCTGTTTGAAAGGAGAGTCCGCCTTCTGAGGGAGCCTGCTCCACACTTGAACAGTTCTCACCTTGATACTCTGCAAATTTGGTACCAGGGATGAGGGAACGTGGTGTCATCCCCCCAAAGCATTTGGTACTACAACTCCCACCACCTCTGACCATTGGCCATGCTGGCTGCTGGGAGCTGGAGCTTGCATTCAAAGAAGATTGGACAGGAGCTATCAGTAGCTACTGCCTGCAATGCCTCCACGACTGAAGGCAGCAATGCTGCTGAGAACCAGTCGCTGGAAGCTGCAGGAGCGGGGATGGCTTTTGTGCTCAGGAGCTGCACGCATCTGTTTGGCCACTGTGAGAACAGGACGCTGGACTAGCCATTGGCTTGACCCAGTGGGCTCTTCTTGTGTTCTTCACGTCAATTCAAAGTGTTGGTGCTGACCTTGAAAGCCCTAAACGACCTCAGCCCAGTATACCTGAAGGAGTGTCTCCACCTCCATCGTTCTGCCCGGACACTGAGGTCCAGCGTCAAGGGCCTTCTGGCGCTTCCCTCGCTGCGAGAAGCCAAGTTACAGGGAACCAGGCAGAGGGCCGTCTCGGTAGTGGCACCCGCCCTGTGGAACCTCCTCCCACCAGATGTCAAAGAGAAAAACAACTTCCAGACTTTTAGATGACATCTGAAGGCAGCCCTGTTTAGGGAAGCTTTTAATGTTTGATGCATTACGGTATTTTAATACAGTGGTACCCTGGGTTACATACTCTTCAGGCTACATATGCTTCAGGTTACAGACTCCGCTAACCTAGAAATAGTACCTCAGGTTAAGAAATTTGCTTCAGGATGAGAACAGAAATTGTGCAGCGGAGGTGCGGCGGCAGCAGGAGGCCCCATTAGATAAAGTGGTGCTTCAGGTTAAGAACAGTTTCAGGTTAAGAACGGAACGAATTAAGTTCTTAACCTGAGATACCACTGTATTTTGTTGGAAGTCGCCCAGAGTGGCTGGGGAAGCCCAGCCAGATGGGCAGCGTATAAATAAATAAATCATCATCATCATCATTCTGATGCCTTTTCTTTTGCTTCTGTTGACAGCACGAGCGGGAGCAGATCATGACCACCAACGTGTGGCTGACCCAGGTAAGTCGCCTGCCACCACCCCTCTCTTTATTTATTTACTCATAAATAGAACCAATGTGCCCCTTTTCAATAATAGTGGTTTGCTTAATCTCCTACCTTCTGCTGCATTCAGAAGCAACAAGGGGGAAATGAGCACTATGTGGGACACTATCTAGACCAGAGGCTCCAGCTGTTGCAAAATGCTGCAGGGAGACTGTTGATGGAGACAATCACCAGTGCATCATCCATCAATCATCAGTGCTCCAAAGCTTGCACTGGCTGCCCATACACTGCCAGGCCTTATTCAAAGGTCTTGCATTAATTTACAAGCCCCATAACAACCAGGGTTCAAGATATCTGAAGGACCAGTCTGATTTCTCAAATCACTGCCCGGTCGCTGCGATATTTGGGGGAGTCACTGTTAGAGGTCCCCCATAACTCAGGTGAACAGGCCCAAAGAATCCTGGAGATAGTAGCTTGTTAAAGGTGTCAAGAATTCTTACCAGCTCCATCTGGTACACTGGTTGAGACCCTACCTGCCTGCAGACTGTCTCGCCAGAGTGGTGCATGCAGTGCTTTTTTTTCCTCTTCTAAAAAAATGTTTAGGGGTACTCTCATTTTCCTACTCATATTGAAATACTGCCCCTCAATGAGGCCAAACTTAGATTCACAAAATGTTTAGGGGTATGTGTACCCCTGCGTCCCCCCAGAAAAAAGCACTGGGTACATGATCTGGTTATCTGCCGCTTGGACTACTGCAATGCACTCTATGTGGGGCTGCCTTTGAAGGTGACTTGGAAACTGCAACTAATCCAGAATGCGGCTGCCAGACTGGTGACCTTCTGATCAGCAAGTCCTAGGCTCCGTGGTTTAACCCACAGCACCACCCGCGTCCCTGAATAAACGCCACCTGCGTTTATGCTGAATAAACACCTGTAAATAATGCTTATACATGTCTCTGGTGCTGTGACTCGGACTTCTCACAACGTAAGTGGCGGACAGAGACATGTGTAAGCATTATTTATAGGCGTTTATTCAGCATAGTTCAGGAACAAAGGAAAAACATGTCTGCTTCCCTTCGTGTCCGACAAAAGAGCAAAGCAATAGCAATATACAAACGGACGTTCCCAGCAAGCCTGTGCTGGAAGTAAACAGGCATGTGACACACAACAGTCATACCTGTCTCTTTTAAGGTGGAACGGAACTATATCCTAACAGAACCTTGCAAGCCACCTGCACAGTCTTTTTAATACTAAAAAAAAAAAAAATAGCCACTCTCACCCAGCTGGAGATTCAGGCCCTCCCCCTGCCAACTGGAAGGGGTGAGGTAGAACTGGAGACTTCAGGTCAGTCTTGGGGATGTGGCCATCCTGATTGTGTCAAGCCCCCCCCCCATCTCTCTTTCTCTCTCTCTCTCTCCCCATTGCAGGAATGGGAGGATTATCGCCTTACGTGGAACCCAGAGGAGTTTGATGACATGAAGAAGGTGCGGCTGCCATCCAAACACATCTGGCTTCCAGATGTTGTGCTCTACAACAAGTAGGTGCACCTCGGCATTCTTTGTCCTGGGTCTAACGCTTGCGGATCTGGGACGACAATAGCGAACCTGCATTTCATGGGCTGTATTAGGACTGCAGAACCACCTGGAGGGGCCCGCCTGGCTCCACCTTCCTCCTTGTCACAATGCCGCGGTGTCAGGAGAGCTTTCAAAGCCAGGCGTAGGGGACCTTTGGCCTTCCAAACGTTGCTGGACTACAACTCCCATCAGCCCCAGCAAGCATGGCTAATGGGCAGCGACGATGGGAGGTGTAGTTCAGCAACATTTGGAGGGTCATAGGTCCCCTACACTTGTTTTAAACCTTGCCTGCTGCTAGATAGGGATTGAGGTGGTGTAAAGGCAGGTTAGGAAGGCAATGGCAATGGCGCCCACCTGAGAGGTGCTGGAACTGAGTTCCGGCTGAAACAAAAGCCCTGGTTTCCACGTGGAACTGTAGAGTTAGAAAGGATCACGAGGGTTGCCCAGTCCAACATGAAATAGTTTTTAATTGTTTTTATATACAGAAGCACTTTTATAGACCAATTTTCTTCTTTTCATTGTTTCGGCTGTGGAGGTTTCTACTGTGAAAGCGCTTCAAACTATGTTATGGGCCACAATTCATAAACAGAATCAAACGAATAAAAAGGCAGGTCCGGGTGGCCAGCATTATGATGAACGTGTGGATGGCATGGGTAGGGCTGTGCACATGGTGCGTGAGCTCTGATCTGTGCAACTGCACCGTCAGGCTTCGGAGATCCCTCCCCTGGTTGCAGTGAATAAGCAGATCAAATGAAAGGAGCGTTCTTACCAGTTAGTTCTTTAATAATCACAGCGAGAGACAAAGGAATGCATATCTCTCTAGAAATGGCGGTGCTCCCAGTAAAGGTTTCCCCCCTGCTCTGTCCCCATTAATCTGCGCCACTCCTACGTCGGGTAACCTGAGCTTGTTGCCGCTGCGCTCTCTGTTCTATCACTCTTGGAGCCCGTCTAGTCCTAGGCGAAGGGGGGTCAGGAATGCTGTCCAAGGACACTGAATCTGCCAGATGTCTCCCTCCTGGTGTTTCCTCTTCTAGCTGTTCCTCATCCAGTATTTCCCAGCTTTCCCCCTCTGGACTGTGCCCCTCTGCAAACCACTGTTCTAACTCAATACTGTCCTCCTGCCCTTGGGAAGGTTCAGGAGAAGGGGGCGGCGGCTCCCACCATTCCTCCTCAGTCCAAGCCTGTGACATGCACCTTCTAGACCAGGGGTAGGCAACCTAAGGCCCGGGGGCCGGAACTGGCCCAATTGCCTTCTCAACCTGGCGGACGGACGGTCCGGGAATCAGCATGTTTTCACATGAGTAGAATGTGTCCTTTTATTTAAAATGCATCTCTGGGTTATTTGTAGGGCATAGGAATTCGTTCATTTCCCCCTCCCCCAACAAAATATAGTCCGGCCCACTACATGGTTTGAGGGACGGTGGATTGGCCCACGGCTGAAAAAGGTTGCTGACCCCTGTTCTAGACCAACAATGAGCATTGCTTCCCCTTCTTCTCCCCTCCCCCAGCGCCGACGGGATGTACGAGGTATCCTTTTACTCCAACGCCGTGGTCTCCTACGACGGCAGCATCTTCTGGCTCCCTCCGGCCATCTACAAGAGTGCCTGCAAAATCGAGGTGAAGCACTTCCCCTTCGACCAGCAGAACTGCACCATGAAGTTCCGCTCGTGGACCTACGACCGGACGGAGATCGACCTGGTGTTGAAGAGCGAGGTGGCCAGCTTGGATGACTTCACCCCCAGCGGGGAGTGGGACATCATCGCCCTGCCGGGACGGCGCAACGAGAACCCCAACGACTCCACCTACGTGGACATCACCTACGACTTCATCATCCGCCGCAAGCCGCTGTTCTACACCATCAACCTCATCATCCCTTGTATCCTCATCACCTCCTTAGCCATCCTGGTCTTCTACCTGCCTTCCGACTGCGGCGAGAAGATGACCCTCTGCATCTCGGTCCTCTTGGCCCTCACCGTCTTCCTGCTTCTGATCTCCAAGATCGTGCCGCCCACCTCGCTGGACGTGCCGCTGGTGGGCAAGTACCTGATGTTCACCATGGTCTTGGTCACCTTCTCCATCGTCACCAGCGTCTGCGTGTTGAACGTCCACCACCGCTCGCCCACCACCCACACCATGCCGCCCTGGGTCAAGGTGGTCTTCCTGGACAAGCTGCCCACTCTCCTCTTCATGAAGCAGCCCCGGCAGAACTGCGCCCGCCAGAGGCTGCGCCAGAAGCGGCAGAACCAGGAGCGGACGACCGGGAGCTTCTTCCTCCGCGAAGGAGCCAGGTCCTGCACTTGCTACGTCAACCCGTCCACGGTCAAGAAGTTCGGGACGGGGAGCGGCGGCGATGGCGGGGGAAGGCCCTTTACGGAAACGTCGGAGCCGGGAGTCAACGGTTACCGGGACAGGCCAGGTCAAACGGTGCCACCGCCAGGCCCCTGTTGCTGCGGCCTGGAGGAGGCTGTGGACGGAGTACGCTTCATCGCGGATCATATGAAGAGCGAAGATGACGACCAGAGTGTGAGTGTCTGGAAGGGAAGGGGCTTGAGGGCAGGGTGAGGGTGGGGGGCTTTGTGGCCTTAAGTCAGTCTTGTAAATAACATACCCGCCCACATTTTTCTGAAGGAGCGTCTCCACCCCCATTGTTCAGCCTGGACACTGAGGTCCAGCGCCAAGGGCCTTCTGGTGGTTCCCTCACTGCAAGAAGTGACATTACAGGGAACCAGGCAGAGGGCCTTCTCGGTAGTGGCACCCGCCCATGAGATGTCAAGGAAATAAACAACTGTTTGACTGCAATCCAGGAATCTCAGCCAAAACTTCCATGACAGCATCCTTTAGTCCCAAGACGCCTGATGGGACTTGCTTTCTAATTTATTTCTTTACCACATATACATACAGTGGCAATGATCTCTGGGTGAAAACCAATCTGCCGATCTTTGATATAAAGACATAAGAAGAGCCCCTGCTGGACCAAGCTAATCACCCATCAGATGGGCGGGGTATCAATAATAAGATTATTATTATTATTATCTAATCCTGCCTCCTGTTCCCCAGGGAGCTCTGAGAATTGTAGCCGTTGAGGGTCACAGGAGTTTCCTAACAGCTCTCAGCACCCTTAAACTACAGTTCCCAGGATTCTTTGCAAGGGGAGGAGCAATGAGCGTTTAACGTGGTACAGTGGTACCTCGGGTTACAGCCACTTCAGGTTACATATGCTTCAGGTTACAGACTCTGCTAACCCAGAAATAGTACCTCGGGTTAAGAACTTTGCTTCAGGATGAGAACAGAAATTGTGCGGCAGCAACGGGAGGCCCCATTAGCTCAAGTGGTACCTCAGGTTAAGAGCAGTTTCAGGTTAAGAACGGACCTCCAGAACGAATTAAGTTCTTAACCTGAGGTACCACTGTATTGCAATTGCTTTCAATGTGTGGGCTTGGGCTAAGGTTACCAGATCTTTTTCAATGAATCTGGGGACATTTTTTCAACTTCCTATTGAATAGATGGATTTCGTCAGGGGACTGATTTGTAAATCCGGGGACTGTCCCCAGGAAACAGGGACGTCTGGGAACCTTACCTATGTAGCTATGTAGAACTTCCTTGTTCAGGCAAAGTCTACCTCTGAGTTCCAGTAGCTGGGGAACAAACTCAGTGGTTGCCTTTAAGGGTTCGATTTGGACACTTCTGCCTGAACACATTACAGTCGTACCTCGGGTTAAGAACTTAATTCGTTCCAGAGGTCCGTTCTTAACCTGAAACTGTTCTTAACCTGAGGTACCACTTTAGCTAATGGGGCCTCCTGCTGCCGCCGCGCCGCTGGAGCACGATTTCTGTTCTCATCCTGAAGCAAAGTTCTTAACCCGAGGTACTATTTCTGGGTTAGCAGAGTCTGTAACCTGAAGCGTCTGTAACCTGAAGCATCTGTAACCCGAGGAACCACTGTATAACTCGACGCTTCGTTCTGATCAGTCAGGGCACTTCTTACAAAGCTTTCCCACCATATCTTAAATCATCACCTCCTGAAACATGATGCACTGTTTGTTTGGGTTTTTTTTAGAAAAAGGCTGTGGCAATTTCCCATCCCCTGGATGTTTCCTGGGGGAGACACAGCTCTTCCTTGCTTCCTCCCCATCTCCCTGCCGCCTCTCCTTTGCCAAGCCATGAGTCAGAATACCCTGTCCTTTACTGACCTGTTCCCCACCTCCGAGCGCAGGGCAGCTGTGTTCTCCAACTGAGACACCGCCGGGCTCCAGAATCAATATTTCCCTTCTGCTCGGCTGGATCCCTGTGCTGAAGGCGCATGAAAAATTCATGTGCAGTGAGATATGGATGTAAGGGAGGGAGAGACAGAGAGAGAGAAGTCGGGAGAAACAGACTTTTCATTCTTGGAGGTCTGCTGCTTTGCTGGTGTAATAATAATAATAATAATAATAATAATAATAATAATAATACAGTGGTACCTCAGGTTACATATGCTTCGGGTTACATACGCTTCAGGTTACAGACTCCGCTAACCCAGAAATAGTACCTCAGGTTAAGAACTTTGCTTCAGGATGAGAACAGAAATCGTGCTCCGGCGGCATGGCAGCAGCAGGAGGCCCAATTAGCTAAAGTGGTGCTTCAGGTTAAGAACAGTTTCAGGTTAAGAACAGACCTCCGGAACAAATTAAGTACTTAACCCAAGGTACCACTGTAATAATAATAATAATAATAATAATAATAATAATAATAATAATAAATAATAATAATAATAATAATTTGTACGCTGCCCATCTGACTGGGTTGCCCCAGCCACTCTGGGCAGCCTCCAACATACATAAAAACATAATAAAACATCCATCTGTGGCCAGAGAGCAATGGGTCAAAGCTAGCCCCGCCTTCCTCACCAAAGCAAATCATTCATCTGATCTGGTAGCCTTGCCAGAAACTATTTGCAGAAGGAGAAGCTCTATGCCCACTGGACTAGGGAAGTGTCAGGTATGAAGCAGTTGCCATAGGAACCGAGAGGAGGGGGAACCTGGAACGGCAGCAGAGTGATGTCACTGCCCCAGGCTGCGCTCTGAGGCTGCAGGTTTGGGGCCAAGCCAGCTGAGCACTGATTGGGGGGTGGGGGCAGGAGGCCGGAGAGACACTCCCTTCGTCACCCTCAGTCGAAGGCAGGAGTGCTTCTGAATACCAATTGCTGGAGGGATGCAGGTGGCGCTGTGGGTTAAACCACAGAGCCTAGGAGTTGCCGATCAGAAGGTCGGCGGTTCGAATCCCCACCACAGGGTGAGCTCCCGTTGCTCAGTCCCTGCTCCTGCCAACCTAGCAGTTTGAAAGCACTTCAAAGTGCAAGTAGATAAATAGGTACCACTCCGGCGGGAAGGTAAACGGTGTTTCCGTGCGCTGCTCTGGTTCGCCAGAAGCGGCTTAGTCATGCTGGCCACATGACCCGGAAGCTGTACGCCGGCTCTCTCGGCCAATAAAGCGAGATGAGCGCCGCAACCCCAGAGTCGGCCACGACTGGACCTAATGGTCAGGGGTCCCTTTAACTTTACCTAACACAACTGTAAGGGGTGCAATCAACACAGGCAACTCTATTGTCGTTTTTGCTTAATGCTTACTTTACTATTCTGCTTTTCACCATTGGTTTGAAGGCAGGTTGCAAAATTAGCAAATGGAAAAAAAGCTTCCTAAAACAAAAGCAGTAATTAAAACCAGCATTACAGAAAAGAAAGAAAGTGGAGGGGAACCCGAGCTGAAACCATTTTTAAAAGCAGGCTAAACAGTCTGCTCTTTAAAATATTTAAGCAGGTCTTGCCTCTCCCCGGGAACAGGTTCAGTGGAAGGAAGGGAAGGAGGCTAAAAATCACAAAAGGAGAATTAGCAATGCACCCCCCACGCAGCTACAGTTCATTAGGATTCTCTGGGGGGTCGGGGGGTGTGTTCAACATTTGAAATTGTAAAAAAACAACTACCCACTAATAATTGTGGTGGCTGGTACTCATTGGGGCTGTTCGGGCTGCGGACACATATACAAAAGTAGTATAAACACCAACAATTGGGAAACACTGGTCTGCAGGCACTCCGATTGGAGAACAGCCTTTGCCAAAGGTGGTCATGGACTTTGAAGACACTCGAACCCAGGACAAAAGGGAGAAATGTGTTAAGAGGAAGGCACGTTTGGCAAACCCTCACCGTGATGAACTCGTGCCCGGGAACTTATGTCCCCCCTGTAGAAGGATGTGTGAATCCAGAATTGGCCTCCACAGTCACTTACGGACTCATTGTTAATACCGTGTTTACGGAAGGCAATCTTACTCAGCTGTGAGTGATCGCCAAGGAAGAAGAAAGAAGAAGATCAACAGCAGGTGGCGCCAGAGCCGATGGCAGGCGAGGCCAATTGCTTCTGCTCTTCCTTCCTGCTCCGTTCAAAAGGGCAAAACTGAGACTCAGAAGGAGAAAGCTAACAGCCAGGGCTATTGAAATATACTCAGAGTCGCTAAGTGATTTCATGCTCTTTATTCAGCTCATAGTGGTGAGGAGGAATGAATGAATGTCCCCTCAAAGTATCTGCTTTATATACATTATTTACCCTAATACCAAAACCGGATTCGGATAAATTGGACATAAAAAATTATAGGCCAATATCACTACTCAATAATGACTATAAACTTTTTGCTGAAATAATGGCAAAAAGATTGAAAAAATATTTGTTAAAATCAATTCATAAAGACCAAGTCGGATTCTTGCCAGGTAGACAGTTAAAAGATAATATAAGAAACATAATTAACATTATTGAATATTTAGAATCCAAAAATGAAATTCCTGCGGCTCTGGTATTTGTCGACGCTGAAAAAGCTTTTGACAATGTGTCCTGGTGTTTCCTGGTAAAGTGTATGGAAAGGGTAGGGATAGAGGGGCCCTTTTTAGAAGGCATTAAAGCAATCTATTCGAGCCAAAAAGCGAAACTAATTATTAATAACAACTTAACAGATTCATTCATGATATCAAAAGGCACAAGACAGGGGTGCCCCCTATCCCCCCTTTTGTTCATTATGGTACTGGAGACAATTGCAAATAAAATAAGGGGAACACCGGAAATAAGAGGAATTAAACTTGGAACGAAAGAATATAAATTAAAGGCATATGCCGATGATTTAGTAATATCAGTAGAAGAACCATTAAAAAGCGTGGAAAAAGCCCTAGAACTGCTTGAGGAGTTTGGAAAGTTATCTGGGTTCAAGTTAAACAAAGCTAAGACAAAAATAATGACAAAAAACCTGGCTGAAGATTTAAGAAATCAACTAGAACAACAAACAGGGATTAAGGTAGTGAAAAAGGTGAAGTATTTGGGTATTTGGGTAACCACAAAAAATATAAATTTAGTAGAAAATAATTATAATAAAATCTGGAGCGAGATCAAAAAAGATTTAGATATCTGGAGCAGATTAACTCTCTCCTGGGAGGGAAGAATGGCGGCCATAAAAATGAATATCCTTCCAAAACTACTATTTCTATTCCAGAATATTCCAGTAATTAGAGGAACAACAATGTTTAAGGAATGGCAGAAAACTCTGTCCAGGTTTATCTGGCAGGGGAAAAGAGCAAGAATTAAGTTTAAATTGCTCACAGATAGGAGAGAAAGAGGGGGGTTTGCTGTTCCGAATTTGCAATTATATTATGAGGCTGCAAGCCTATGTTGGGTAAAGGAATGGATAGTTTTGGAAAATTCAGATGTGTTGGACCTGGAAGGATTCGATGTTAGATTTGGCTGGCACGCTTATTTATGGCAGGATAAAGAAAGGGTGCATAAGGGATTCTCCCACCATATTGTCAGAGGAGCGCTGCTAGAAGTATGGAATAGAACTAAAAGATTGTTGGAAAAAGGCATACCTTGGTGGTTATCGCCGGTTAACATCTCATCAGTGATAAATGTAAATGGAAGAACCCAAAGATGGACTTACGAAGATCTCTTGACTAAATCGGATAAAGGGTGGAGAATTAAATCACATGAGGAATTAAAGGACAAGTCAATAGGGTGGCTACAAGTTCATCAAATTAACGCCCTATGGAATGAACACAAAAAAATAGGGATGAACGAGAAAAAATCCAAATTCCAGGTGGAAATATTAGAAGGGAAAAGTAAGCTTTTATCCAAAATGTATAATCAATTACTGGATTGGGAGACTAAGGATGAGGAGGTGAAGGAGGTCATGATAAAGTGGGCCATAGATTTGGGATACAGCTTAGAATATGAGAGATGGGTGAAACTTTGGACCAAGGATATAAAATTTACAGCATGCGTTAGCCTCCGAGAAAACATAGAAAAAATGATGTATCGCTGGCATATTACCCCCGTTAAGCTAGGAAAAATGTATAAAACTGGAGACAAAAGATGTTGGAAATGTAAAAAAAAAGAGGGCGACTTCCATCATATGTGGTGGGCATGCGAAGAAGTGAGGAAGTTCTGGGGTTCTATTTATGACGAGCTGAAAAAGATTCTGAAATACACATTTCCAAAAAATCCAGAAGCTTTTCTTCTGGGAATGATCGGTGAGGAGATTAGGAAAGAAGACCAAACCATGTTCCAGTATGCAACGGCAGCAGCCAGAATATTACTGGCACAGAACTGGAAATCATCTAAAACCCCAACTATTAGTGAGTGGCAAAGCAAGCTATTTGAGTACTCAGAGTTAGCAATAATGACACAGAAGATCAGGCATCAGAGTAATAAAACTTTTATTAACGATTGGAATAAACTTGTATCATACATGGAAAAAAACTTAGGTAACATTAAAATAACAGTAGGTGAACTATAGAATCTGTGAAGTAAAGATAAAGGTTGAAAGAAGGAACTGCAAGATGGTTACTAAGGTGATATAGCTCACATCGTGGTGGAGGGAAGTCAGAGCGACGAAACGATAACCAATACTTTTGGAGAAATGTATTTATGTTTTGATGTCTTACTGTCTATATTTGTCTATTTTTCTGTGTGTTTCTTTTTTATTCTTTGGTGAATATGTGATTTTAAAAGAGTATATATTGGAAATAAAATTTAATTTTAAAAATTAAAAAAATAATAAAAAAAAAATATATATATACATTATTTACACAATGGGCTGCACATGATTGGCTCATTCCGGAATTCTACTGTAAGCCAATCAGGTTGTGGATTCACTTCCATCTGGAAGTGGGTAGTTCCTGCCAACCAATCATACTGCTGCATTGTTCTAGGACCAACCAGACTGCTGCATTCTGAATCCTATTGTTCTAGGACCAATCAGACTGCTGCCTTTTGGATCCTATTGTTCTAGGACCAATCAGACTGCTGCCTTTTGGATCATATTGTTCTAGGACCAATCAGACTGCTGCAGTTTGGATCCTATTCAACTCAGTACATAACAGCTATCCATTGGACTGGCTGTAAGGAAGCAGGCAGGGGCCTGACCAGGAGTGTGGTGGCAAATTGAGAAGTCCAGGGTCCCTTCAAGGTAGTCACAGAAATGCCCCCTCATACGCCCCTAAGATTAGACAACGATCATATAATTACAGTGGTGCCTCGGGTTAAGTACTTAATTCGTTCCAGAAGTCCGTTCTTAACCTGAAACTGTTCTTAACCTGAAGCACCACTTTAGCTAATGGAGCCTCCTACTGCTGCCACGCCGCTGGAGCATGATTTCTGTTCTCATCCTGAAGCAAGGTTCTTAACCTGAAGCACTATTTATGGGATAGCAGAGTCTGTAACCTGAAGCGTCTGTAACCCGAAGTACCACTGTATAAAAAGGTAAAGGGACCCCTGACCATTAGGTCCAGTCGTGGACGACTCTGGGGTTGGGGCGCTCATCTCGCTTTATTGGCCGAGGGAGCCGACATACAGCTTCCGGGTCATGTGGCCAGCAGGACTAAGCCGCTTCTGGCAAACCAGAGCAGCACACGGAAATGCCGTTTACCTTCCCGCAGGAGCGGTACCTATTTATCTACTTGCACTTTGACGTGCTTTCAAACTGCTAGGTTGGCAGGATAGGGACCGAGCAATGGGAGCTCACCCCGTCGTGGGGATTTCAAACCGCCGACCTTCTGATCAGCAAGCCCTAGGCTCTGTGGTTTAACCCACAGCGCCACCCGCGTCCCTACCACTGTATACAATTATGCAATAATTCTGGGCAACTGAGGGGGAGGGGCACTGGGCGGATCTTTGCCCCCCAGCACTGCATATGCTTAAGACAGCCCTGACTGGGCTTTCTGTGCAGTGTGTGTTTTGTTTTGTTTTGTTTTGTTTTTATTATTTTGTTTTATTTTACCTAGATCTGGCACCCTTTTGGTCAGAAGCGGGCCCCGCAAGCGGGCCCACGCACGACAGGTGCTTGCCAAGCCAAAAAGGGTTCCAGCTGACAGGTGCTAACGCCCGTCTCCTTGCCCTTTCCCCAGGTGAGCGAGGACTGGAAGTACGTTGCCATGGTGATCGACCGCCTCTTCCTGTGGATCTTCGTCTTCGTCTGCGTCTTTGGCACCATCGGCATGTTCCTGCAGCCTCTCTTCCAGAACTATGCCACCAACTCCCTCTTGCAGATCAACCACGGTGGTTCCGACTCCAATTAGCGTCTGGGCTCGCTCTTCTCCTTGGCCAAGCTTTTCGGAGCGAGCGAAGAGAGGCAGGCCAAGGAAGATTAAAGAGAGAGGGAGGGAGGAGGGAGGGAGATGGAGCGGGACAGAGAGACACCCTACCTGATCCCTACTTTTACGGACGCCGGCCTGAGGCGCGCTCAGTAAGGGACTGCAGGCCCTTTCCCCTGCTGTCTGCCATCGCCCCGGCTCAAGCTTCAGTCCTGAAAACAGAGCCTTGCTTGCAGAGAAGCAGACCAGAGCCAAAATGAAAATACTGGAATAGGTTGGTTTCTTCCGGGCTGCCAGAATGATATGGTAGCTCAACAGTAGAGCACCTGCTTTGCATGCGGAAGGTCGTAGGTTTGACCCCCAGCTTCCCCACTTAAAAAAAATAATGGGTGGTGGTGGTGGAAAAGGTTGCAGCAGGGTCAAGCCTGGCTGTCTTATCCACTTATTTTAGGCAGCTTCCTCCATTCCCATTGATGGGAGGTGTCAGTTCCAAGCAGCCAGGAGGAGTCAGTTCCTTCCAAGAGGCTGAGGTCAAGTTCCTGGATGCGTTATGGGGCACAGGGGGCAGTGAGTCTTGCAGCCTCAAGGGCATTTTGGATACGGACTACAGCTTTTTCCCTGCCCCCCACCCCATACCCCCTGGCTTGTGCCAATTACGGGGAACCAGCTCCCAACTCAGGGAAAAATCATCATCATCTATGTGTCTATATATAATTAAATACCCACATCTACACCCTCCATCTCTGAGGAGCAGCTGCAGATTGGAAGGCCACCCTGGGGCGCAACCCTCGGCGGGGAGAGGTGTGGGGTGGGGAGAGCCTGACAGGAAAAAAAAGGACATTTCGCAGGGGGGATTCCATGAGATTTGACCAATTCATCCACAAGGTCAGGTGGTAACCCTGCGCGAAGAAGGGACTCTCAGGATCTCTCAGGACAGACTGATGCCAGGACCAGCTCCCCTAACCATATGTGTGTTTGTGGCCGGAGGAGATGGAGCGTAGACTGGTGCTCCAGCCACCCAGGGTCCGCTTCAGGCGGGGTCTTCCACTCTGGGCCATCACCAGCAGCCTCGGTAGAGAGACGTGTCCCCCCCACAGAGCCATTGGGTGTGTCTTCCTGGGCCCCTCCTCCTCTGCTCCTGAAAAGCCAAACGCTGACACCGCAATACCAATAAAATAGGTCACATAGATGGGAGAGATTCCTTCTTTCAGTTCAGCTGTGTGCGAGTGGTTGTTTTTTAAGCGCATTTCAAGGTTAGGGTTGCTGCTACCATGCAATTTCTGTTCTCAACCTGAAGCACCACTTTAGCTAATGGGGCCTCCCGCTACCGCCGCGCCGCCAGAGCACGATTTCTTTTTCTTATCCTGAAGCAAAGATCTTAACCCGAGGTACTTTTCTGGGTTAGCGGAGTCTGTAACCTGAAGCATCTGTAACCTGAGGTTCCACTGTAGTAACAACAGTAACAACAGCAACAATTTATTTGTACCCCACCCATCTGGCTGGGTTTCCACAGCCGTTCTGGGCGGCTTCCAACGAAAAATATTAAATACATTAAAATGTCAAAACAAAAAAATATTCCTTCCAGTAGCACCTTAAAGACCAACTAAGTTAGTTCTTGGTATGAGCTTTCGTGTGCATGCACACTTCTTCAGATACACAGATAAAATGTCAGACATTAAAAACTTCCCTAAACAGGGCTGCCTTCAGATGTCTTCTAAACTGTAAAGGCCAAACCAACATCCTGTTTAATCTACAGATAATAGTAATGCGGGCTACCTTTGAAGGTGACCCGGAAACTACAACTAATCCAGAATACGGCAGCTAGACTGGGGACTGGGAGCGGCCGCCAAGACCATATATAAAACTGTCCTGAAAGACCTACACTGGCTCCCAGTATGTTTCTGAGCACAATTCAAAGTGTTGGTGCTGACCTTTAAAGCCCTAAACGGCCTTGGTCCTATATATATGAAGAAGCGTCTCCACCCCCATTGTCCAGCCCGGACACTGAGGTCCAGCGCCGAGGGCCATCTGCCGTTTCCCTCATTGCGAGAAGTGAGGTTATAGGGAACCAGGCAGAGGACCTTCTCGGCAGTGGCGTAGTGTGGGGAGTGCAGAGGGAGCCGGCCGCACTGGGCGCAACATCTGGGGGGGCACGCTCGCACTCGCAGCTCTCTGCCCCTACCTGGTTAGGGGGCGCAAATTACTTGCCTTGCCCCGGGTGCTGACAACCCACGCGACGCCACTGCTTCTCGGTAGTGGCACCCGCCCTGTGGAACGCCCTCCTATCAGATGTCAAGGAAATAAACAACTGTTTGATTTTTAGAAGACATCTGACAGCAGCCCTGTTTAAGGAAGTTTTCAATGTTTGATGTTTTATCGTGTTTTTAATATTCTGTTGGGAGCCGCCCAGAGTGGCTGGGGAAACCTAGCCAAATGGGTGGGGTATGAATGAATGAATGAATAAATAATAATAATAATAATAATAATAATAATAATAATAATAATAATTACCCCACCCATCTTGCTGGGTTTTCCAGGCCACTCCGGGCAGCTTCCAGCAGAATATAAATTCAATCCAATCCAGATCCACATTGAGCTTTTAAATAAGCAAAGAACCTGCAGAAGTCCCTAGTCCTCAGCATAGTGACAAAATACTGGAAAATATAGGGTGGGGAAGAGAGGGTGGGTTCTGTTAAGTCACCGCAGTGGAATGACAGTTTAGAGTGGCACCAAAGTGCTTTGAATGTATGGTGTCTAAAAGCATCAATAATAGCTAGATAATGATAACGATAAATGGCCTTGGTCCAGTATATCTGAAGGAGCGTCTCCACCTCCATCGTTCTACCCGGACACTGAGGTCCAGCACTGAGGGCCTTCTGGTGGTTCCCTCACTGCGAGAGGCCAAGTTACAGGGAACCAGGCAGAGGGCCTTCTCTGTAGTGGCGCCTGCCTTGTGGAACGCCCTCCCACCAGATGTCAAAGAGAACAACAACTACCAGACTTTTAGATGACATCTGAAGGCAGCCCTGTTTAGGGAAGCTTTTAATGTTTGATGTATTATAGTATTTTAATATTTTTTTTGGAAGCGGCCCAGAGTGGCTGGGGAAGCCCAGCCAGATGGGCGGGGTATAAATAATAATAAATAAATAATAATAATAATAATAATAATAATAATAATAATAATAATAATAATAATATTTATACGCCACCCATCTCTCTGGGTTTCCCAGTCTGATCCATTCAGCAACTCCCCCCCCCCCCACTGCTGTCCTGCAAACCAAAATATGCTGAACTCTCTCCTGTTCTTTCTGAGTCTCCGGCTGCTGCATTGCTCCCTTCCTTCCAGCTGGATCTGCGTACATCATCCCCAAATGCTTAACATGTGGCCGGCTCTGCCAGGCTGCCTGGATGGTGTCCCGCTGTGCCCGCTTTTCATCCTCAAGACAAGGCAGAAAGAAGCTCGCTGCAGAAGCACAATCTCCTAGCTCCCTCTGACCCGCAGCAGATGGCAGGCCGGCAAGACGGCTTTCCACTTCAGTTCCACCGGCTCAAAACTCCACCTGCCACGGTGACCCAGCCGCAACCAGGCCGGCCGATCTGTTTAGCTGAGAGCCGAGAGACAGGGACACAAGGCTCTGAGTAGCATAGCAGAAGCACCAGCCTTTAGGAAGGGCGGCAGCAGAGTGATGGAGACCCTGCAGAATGTCCCACCTTCGATCCCCAACATCTCCAGGCAGGGCTGGGGAAAACCTCCCTGCCTGAAACCCTGGGGAGCTGCTGCCAGTCAGTGCAGACACCACTGAACTAGATAGGCCAGTGGTCTGCCTCAGTGTAAGGTAGCTTCTTCTGTTCAGCATTAGACACATGGAAGCCAGGCGATGATAGCTCACCACCACCAACAGCAAACAAACAAATAAAAACCTCTGTGTAGAAAGCAGTCTACCTTTCAGGACCAGCGGCTGGCAGCAACAGGAGAGAGGCCAGCTGCTCTCATGTCTTGCGTGTGGAAAACAGGATGTTGGGTTAGGATTCAGTGGGACTCTTCTCCCAACAACCGTGGAAGTGTAAGCCTACAAGAGGTGTAAAGGTAAAGGTAAAGGGACCCCTGACCATTAGGTCCAGTCGTGACTGACTCTGGGGTTGCGGCGCTCATCTCGCTTTATTGGCCGAGGGAGCCAGCATACAGCTTCCAGGTCATGTGGCCAGCATGACTAAGCTGCTTCTGGTGAACCAGAGCAGCGCACGGAAACGCCGTTTACCTTCCCGCTGGAGCGGTACCTATTTATCAACTTGCACTTTGACATGCTTTTGAACTGGTAGGTTGGCAGGAGCAGGGACCGAGCAACAGGAGCTCACCCCGTCGAGGGGATCTGAACTGCCGACCTGGCAAGTCCTAGGCTCTGTGGTTTAAACCACAGCGCCACCTGCGTCCCACCCTACAAGAGGTGTAAACCACCTTTAAAAGCTGTAGGGAAAGATGTGGGCCCATTGACGATGAACCAAAAATCAAAGCACAATAGGTTTAAAGGTAAAAGGTAAAGGGATCCCTGACCATTAGGTCCAGTTGTGGCCGACTCTGGGGTTGCGGCGCTCATCTCACTTTATTGGACGAGGGAGCCGGCGTACAGCTTCCGGGTCATGCGGCCAGCATGACTAAGCCGCTTTTGGCAAACCAGAGCAGCGAACGGAAACACCGTTTACCTTCCCGCCGGAGAAGTACCTATTTATCTACTTGCACTTTGACGTGCTTTCGAACTGCTAGGTTGGCAGGAGCAGGGACCGAGCAACGGGAGCTCACCCCGTCGCGGGGATTCGAACCGCCGACCTTCTGATCGGCAAGTCCCAGGCTCTGTGGTTTAACCCACTGCGCCACCCGCGTCCCTAACAATAGGTTTAACATGCAATATTTATCTTCAGGATGGGGAAACCTTTGCAGATTCAGGGCCTTCTCAGCAGACTCCCAGGGTCCTCATCCCAGGGGCAAATGGGGCCAAAGGAAAAAGTCGGCAGGGCAGAGAACGCAGAACTAGGCTAGTTGCTACACAGACACACACTTCTCCCTCTCTTAGCTTTGTCTAGTCAAGCTAAAGTCATGATCAGAGTTCAAAGACATATCCCAGCCAGGCAAAAACACTCCTGGAGGATGCAAAGCAGGACCTGTGAGGGGGTGTGGCTTGCTGAGCAAAGGGGTGTGGCCTCTTGAAAATTCCAAGGGCCAAATCAGAGGACTGCGTTTAGCTCCCACCCCCTTTCTCCATTTATACCTCCTGTCTTTCTGCGTGAGCTCGGCAAGGCAGCTGCTGCAAAAATTCATACGCCTTCAGACTATCTTGAAAAGAATGATTTATGATGATTTGATGAGTTTGGAGGCAGGGGGTGGGGAGGGAGAGACACAGATGTTCAAAAAATTGTGGGCAGGGGGGAGATGGAAGGAGAGAAAATTGATGCTGGGCTTGCTGGAAGGCCTGCATTGCATTTCGTTAAATGGAGGGGGAGAAGGTTATGGTGTAGTTTTCGGTTATCAGGACCCCCCCCCCATTTGATAAGTGCAGGTGGGCGGCAGGTGGCCGTCTCCCTCATTTCCCCCTCTGTTCTGCAAATCAAAGCACAGGCTCATATTTTAATAACTGTGAGCCTTGCCTTCCTAATGGAACAGGGGGGCTTCCTTTGGTAAGCAAAGTCCTTTGAACGCCGCTGTAACATCCTGTCCATTTCAGCCTCTGATAACGGACAGCATTCCAGCATCCAGCCTGCCTGTTTCTGTCTTTGGACCCGGGAGCAAAATCCTGGCTTCTACCAGCACCGTATTATGAAAATCGCAGGCTCCAGGCCAGGTTTCTGCCGGTCTCTGTTTCGATCATCCGAGCCTTGGTCAAAACGGCCTCAATCTCCGCCATCAGAAACAATAAATCTAAGGCAGGGAAGCATGACAGATACTCTTGACTGTTCTGCAGCCTCGCTGGGAACTACCTTAATATGGGTTGCCATATGTCCCGTAAAACCAGAAAACATGCCCTCCTTTTTGGCGGGCCAACATGCCCATCTGGGTGGATTTTTGCATTTTTAAGGAAATCAGCGGCGTAGCGTGGGTTGTCAGCACCCGGGGCAAGGCAAGTAATTTGCGCCCCCTAACCCGTGTATTTGCGCCCCCTAACCTGTGGATTTGCGCCCCCTAACCCATGGATTTGC